GCTACGTTTAGAATTGCTATAGCATATACACTGAGATCAATACAGAAGGCCAGTGAAGTGTTCTTATCGGCTACTGTGGAGAGCATGGCGGAGGAGGCATGTGCCACGAGTGCATGAGGCGTACACGATCCCAGCCAAGTCCACCTTCCCGTGCGGGCTTGGGTGGCTGATCCTGCCCGGGCCTGATATTCGTCGCATCGTATTCTTGGTACGGAGATTGCAGAGTCAACGAGACCATACTCACGTACCCCCAGATGTGATGGAGGCGGGATGACGCCAAGCTTGATTTGTCGGCCCCACTCTCGCGTGGTTTCCACGCACCACCATACCGTCGAGCGAAAAACTATACCAACAGCGCGCAAAAAAAGGCATAAAGATAATGATGAGAGTGGGATTCGAACCCACGCAGATTTCTCTACTAGCACCTGAAGCTAGCGCCTTAGACCGCTCGGCCATCTCACCGGATGATGTTGTTGATGAAATAGATGCATTTAAAATGATATATATACTCTGAGTGTCTCAAACAGGAGGAAGGCCGCTCGTAATGTTACTCGAATAGACGTGTCAAGTCGCGACTTCAAGTGGGGTGGCTGACATAGCAGAGATTTCACAAGCTTACGCTTATCAGACATCTTCACATGCTTTCTCAAATGTGTAAAGATATACTGTAACTTATTCAAGTAGATCTTGTCAGTTTTGCCCGCCATTTTCCGAATACTACTTCCCCGTTTTCAGTCTTTGAAGAAGACTTAGAGACCAAGCCAGGAGGGCGCCAGGACATTCCGCTTTTGAGCACAGCGGTGTTTATCAGGCTCATATCTCAGGTTTGATGTTGTGACCTCCGAAACCTTGAGTACCTGAGTGCTCCTGGCCTAATCTCAGAAACGAATCTCATTCGCGAAGAATATGTTTGAATGTACAGAGCAGGAGATTCACCAAAGTCTTGGAGGCTGATATCGAAGCCAATGAGAGGTTGCGTTTTCTTTCGTCTGGTGCCACTACAGGCTGGGATTGTGATGCATCTACGCTTAACAATATGCTCATTTCTGGCCTCGTGCTTTCGCTTCGATTGCAACAACACTCGTATACTTACGTCATGGCTCAAGCTCACCACACTTACGCTAATAGAACATGCTACAAGACCACAGACCTTCGGTCTACCAATCCGTTGTTCGACGGTGACAGCGTAGTCGACCACAGGAATTGTCCACTCAAGACATCATGTCATACATGCGGAGCTGCTAGCACAAGAGTGAGACAAGGGCAATGCCGTATTCGTCAAGCACAGGCAAGTCTGCAGATGTGTTAGTCCGTCATCTTAAGAGCGCAGTGATTGTGTACTTACAATGGTCAAGTCAAAACCCGACCTACCCAAAGAGGTAAGCCGGTAATCTGGTATTACAGGACACGTCCCGGGTATGATACAGAAGCAACTGCTAGGCTTCCTGCCCACGCGATCCTTCCCTCTGCTTCACAACGTAGCTCGAATAATGAGAGCATAGGATGCCCGCTCGTCCAGAAGCTACTCATCGTCCATGTCGTCACCATCGCGTCCAGGACTCTTGCTCCTAGCTCTTCCAGCCCCGCGTCCGCTCTGGCGCTTGTCATAGTCGCGAGGGCGGCCCTTGCTGGCTGGCGGAGGGCGCACAAAGGCAAAGTCGACGGTAACCTTCTGCTCAAGGAGCTCCTCGCCGTTGGCGCCCTTGATAGCGGCCTTTGCTTCTTCCAAGGTAGCGTACTCGATGAGGACGTAGCCCTATACAAGGTCAGCTCTGCCGTGCGCTTGGACATGTAACATCAGGCGCGTACCTTGACATAACCCGTCCGCCTGTCCAGGTTCATGTGCAGATTCTTGATCGTTCCAAACTCGCCAAACATGTCCTGAAGATCCTCCTCGGTGCACTCCTCGTGCACGTTGGTGACAATGATGATCCAGCCTTCGATGGAGCGCACAGCTGTTGCGCCTGCGTCGGTGCGCGCGTCGCTGGCGTTGGGGTCAGCCGACGAGACTTCGGGCTGCTCGGGCTGGTCAATGTCCATGGTTTCTGCGTCGGCCATGGCTGCGAAATGTAATCGGTCGGTGGGGGTACAGTGGGTATCGTGGTGAGGGACTGGAGTTGTCAAGCTTTCGGCGTCGCCAAATGTTTCCGCAGTCGAGGCAGTTCGCGCTAGTGGGAGAGCGGCGCCTTCCCACAGTACGCGACCCAAACTCGTCCCTCACCCTCCATCGCGCCTGCCCTTTGTTTAGCCGCAAGTCCGACGCTTACGAGCTGTGCCCGCTGCCTGCATACATCATGGCCCACGTCTCCACCCCTCACGGCACAGCCGGGAACACACAGATAAAAGAGCCACCCACCAGCCTTTGTACTCTAGCACTGAGCTAGGTTCAGCTACCACACCCCGCCGACGTCACTCGAATTGCTACATGACAAACTTTTGACCTGCGTCTTTCATCATGCTCCAGTTTCTCGACAACCTCGTACACTACGCCGACCCGACACTCCCGTCCTTCTCGTCCCTCACGTACCTGTACATCATCATACTAGTCTCCTCGCTCTTGATTTCCTTCCGCTCGCGACAGGAAGAAGAGAACGTAAATTAGCATAATGTCCAAATTCATTAATGTGTGTACTTGTCCCCATCTCATACTCAACAAGACTAACCATGCCAGATCGCCATGATCGGCTGCGGGAGCATGGGTGGTGGAATGGCCCTGCTCTTCGCCGAGGACGGCGTCAATGTTTCGCTCTCAGACCCGTCTGAGCAAGCAATGGATGCAGTCATAAACAAGGCTGAGCAGCAGGGATACAACGGAAAGATCAAAAAGTACAATGGTAGGTGAAAATGCATCCACCACGGTACAATCGAAGGCTAATGCAGTGACAGACTACGATTCCTTGTGCAAGTCACTCTCCACACCGCGCCTCCTCGTCTTCTCTCTTCCACATGGCGGCATTGGCGACAAGGTCCTCGAGGGTCTGGAGCCACATCTCGCCCGCGACGACATCATCCTAGACTGCGGTAACGAACACTTCCAGAACACTGAGCGCCGACAGAAGAAGACAGAGGGCACTGGAATCCGGTACATTGGCTGTGGTGTAAGTGGCGGATACCAGGCTGCGCGAGCGGGACCTTCAATGTGTCCTGGCGGTGACATCTCTGCGCTCAAGGAAGTCCTTCCACTACTAGAAAAGGTCGCAGCCAAAGACAAGAACGAGAAACCTTGTGTGGGCGTCATTGGAAAGGGCGGCGCAGGACATTACGTGAAGATGATGCACAACGGCATCGAGCACGGCATGATGAGCGCCATCTGCGAAGCCTGGGGCATTATGCGAAAGATGGGCATGAACTACGAGGAGATTGGCGACGTTCTATCCGAATGGAACTCAGAAGGCGAGCTGGTATGCCTGCACTTTGTGACCCTGAAAGCTTTCCTTACTAACTATAACAGAGAGGCACTTTCCTTGTCTCCATCGGCGCCGATCTATCTCACAAACGTGACTCAAGCGAAAAGCCCAACCAAAAAGATCCCAAACACCATCCTCTTGTCATCTCACAAGTCCTCGACAAGGTCGTTCAGGACGTCACTGGCGAAGAAGGCACGGGTATCTGGAGCAACACCGAGGCCATCGAACTTCACGTGCCAGCCTTCACCCTCAACATCGCGCACGCATTCCGCCTTGCGTCCGCCTTCCGCGGCGACCGTGAGCAAGCCAGCAAGGCCGCCGACGGAGGTTTCCCTCCTAGCCAGCTGGACATTTCCGACAAGAAGGCTTTCCTTGAAGATTTGAGAAAAGCAACATACGCCTCATGTCTCGCCAGCTACATCCAAGGCATGAATGTTATTGCCAAAGCAGATCAAGAGCATAAGTGGGAAATTGATTACTCACAAATCTGGCAAATCTGGCGAGCGGGATGTATCATCCAAGCAGACTACATTTCTGACGAGATCCTCGCGCCGGTCCTCAAATCCAATCCTAAGCCCGAAGATTTGAACCTCAATTTCTCGACTCGCGTTGCCAAGGACGTAAAGAACTGCTTCCCAGCGCTTCGTCGCATCGTCGCCAAGGCTGTAGAGACAGATCAGGTAATACCTGCTATAAGCGCTACCCTGGAGTACTTCAAAGTCGCTAGTGGTACCGACCTACCGACCTCGTTCTACGAAGCAGAGCTCGATTACTTTGGCAGTCACATGTTCGACAAGAAGGGCGACAAAGATGCAAATGTCAAGAAGCCTATGGAAGGCAAGCATCACTTTGAGTGGAAGCCCGCGACGAGCCAGAAGGAACAGTACGGTAAGAACTACAAGTTTTGAGGTAGTTGAATGCGGCCATCATCTTTCTTTTTGCGCTTCAGCCTAGGTTAATAGTGATAATAGAACAAATGTATTTGACATGATTTTAACGAGAAGCAGAAGATGCCATAGCAAGTCTTAGTACAACAAGTGATGCATCCTGAAGATGCAACCTCCGCGTTTTGGGGGTAAGCCTTCTGTCATAAGCTTAAATGACGTTATTTCCGCCACCTGTACGAGCTCCACATGCTCTCCCTCCGCTTCTGTTGGCCGCATGACGTACCAGTCCTCAAAAAACCTCCACCTCCTCACAGCGACTCGGAAGTTACGGCTTACGAGTCTCGTATTGACACCAAAATAGAGACATTGTCAATCGATCGGCAATTTATACGCCGCCCGAGAGGTCACCGTGGCTGCGCCGGGAGATCTGCACGAGCTTACAGGGGATGGCTGACAGAGTAATCTTCCGATATCCCTGTTATGGTAATTGTCTCCTACTTTTTGTGGAGATAGGGTCACGCTGAATGGTATGATGTGATGCGAGATGGCTGTGCGTTCCCAGTGTCGGCCGTAGGTATATAATTCATTCAACACCCGAACAGACCTCATACACACATTCAAACTCCAACCTAAAACGGCCTCCACATCGTCAACAAACTTCACGCACCGCCTATCTAGGATCCTATAAGCCTGTACTACCAACACAATGCGTTTCTCCACCCTCGCAACAGCCCTCACATCTGCAACTCTCGCATCCTCTCGCCTGATCGGTATCGCAGCCCCTTCAACGCTCGCACCCAACAGTACCTTCACTCTCACCCTCCTCTCAGAAGGCTACATCCAATCTGTCGCCGACGTGGCAGTAGCCTGGGGTTTCGACATTGCGCCAGGTTACCCCGGTACTCTGGGCGCCTTCACCGGTTCCGCGTACCTAGGTCCTGAGAAGAGCAACCAGGGACAGGATAATGTTACAATCACTGCTACCGTGCCTGAGGAACTGGCCAGCGACTCCTACAAGGGCAAGGATATCTTGTTGAACGCCGGAATTTACTCATTGTATGGTGCTAGTGGAGGCCCAGTGGTTACGGGATTTAATGTTACGGTCAAGATTGGCGAGACCACTGGTGGGGAAATTGTACAGAGTGACGGTCAGGCTTGGATTCAGAACAGCATCCAATAGACCGGTGCAATGCTTGCGTGTTTAGCGATTGAGCGCCCAAAGAGCTGTAGAACTTAGATTTCGTAATGTGTACATTATACAATGTTATTAATCGATATTGGCATCACAAGCATCTAAAGTTTTAAGATTTTGGAGTGGCAGCGCACTATAGCATTTGAATGATGTGCTTTATTGATGACGATAAACCAGAGCAGCTATGACCTGGATCACAACTAATCGATATCTAGGCTTCTAAGCCGTGAATATCGAGACAGTAATCACACCTTGCGCGTAATGGTATCGTCTCGACCGTGAAGAAAGCATCTTAAGCTCAGCGAAGCTCAGAGTGTTCCTTCTGGGCCTCAAATTCTGTATATCGTTAGCAGCTATCCAAGGTGTATTCGTCAAAACTGCAAGACTTACCCTTCAGCCAGTCGACAACAAAATTCTTCAGGTACTGCTGAGCGTACACGACCTGCGGTGGGGGCAACTCAGGGGTGGTCTGGTTCTCAAAGATACCATTCTCCTCCCAGTGGTGTACACCATGGCTGATCAGGTGCCACGGGCGATCAGTGGTGTCGTTCCTGCTCTCTGGGTACCATAGCGGGGTAGCGGGTCTCCACGGATCAGCGTTACCTCCAATATGGGCAAGGCGCTCGTAGTCGATGCTGTAGTTGCCGTACTTGTTGACGCGCTCAGTCTCTGGAGGGTGCTCGATGCCGAACTGTGCACGGCAGAAGAAGGTCAGATACTCGACATCAAGAGTACGCGAGATGAGGGGCATAATATCGGCCGGGGTATTTCCGGTTTGAATGTATCCCCACTCGGTGCAAACTTGGTAGCTCCAGCTCGTTGCGCTGTAATCCTCAAGGGATGTGTATTGCTGGAGCGCAGTGGCATTGAGCGTGGTGAAGTACGAATCCTGAGTCCTGTTCGAGCGGCGCCATCCAGCGAGCGCGGTACTGTTGAGCCAGGCAATAGCGTTAAGGGTGATGTTCTGCACAACGGTATCGTTGGTGTAGCCAGCTGCTGAGACAAGTTCAGCAACAGCTGGGCGGAGGTTCTCGCCTGTGGGCTCCTCTGCTGTGATGTTCTGGCAATCTAGACATGGGTGTACAAAGTCAGTATATGCCTCACATGTACTCCACACAGGGACACTCACAGTTGAACCAAGAAGGCGAATTCTCTTCAGGATCCCAGTTGGTGCTCTGCAGACCATATACACCGGTAATCTGGCCAGCAAAGTCACGGTTGTCCGTAACATCACCCATGCCAAAGACATCCTTGAGCGCCTGAACCTTTGAGGTGTCGTTCTGGCGGATGAGAATACCGTCGACCACGTCGATCAGAAGCTGCGTGTTCTTCATGCAATCGGGAGGTCCGGTGAGTCTAGCAGGCTCAAAGTACTGCCAGTAGTCGTAGATTGCGACGGTCACGCCAGAAGAGGAAATTGCGCCCCAGAAAGTCTCTGGGTATACAACTCGCAAGAAAGCAGCCTGAGCTCCAGCATATGAACCACCATAGACGACCCAAGGGGTGTTGGGCGCAGTCAAATCCGCATCGATGCCTTCAAATTTGACATTCTTCGCAAAGAAGTCGATTTCAGCAAGCGCCTGCTCAGTCGACAAGAACCGCATGTTCTTAGTCGTCAGATCGGGCACCGGGAAGGACTTCCCATAGTAACGGTGCTCGAGGATGACACCAAGACCATTAGTAGCCTTGATGACCTGGTGAACGATTCCCTTCTGAAGGAACGTGAGGCGGCCTTCTCCGTCGGTTTCTCCACCAAGAAGAACAAAGACCGGTCCGCCGGGCTTGTAGTACGTGTCGTCAAACCAGTACCTCAGGTTAAAAGACTCGTTGCTATGAGGCTCGTATCGTGTCTCATTATGGAAGAAGTCGACTGGCACGGAAATGTTGTACTCGGGGTACAACAGCGTAGGGTCCGTGTCTTCACGTTTCGCGAGGCTGCGTCGCGTCCGTGCAGCTTGCACCTAAAATTCTGTCAGATTCAAGTGCTCACCTGCCGGCGGTATTTGTCTCGCGTTGATGCTTCATGTCCGTTGTCAACCGAGAAGGCTCCGTTTGGCTGTGAAAGCATTTTATGCATTTTGTAGTAGAAATTGCAACATTGGACGAGGCACAAAGTGGATAGATACACCACAACAACGTCCATGCCACGCACAAAAAGAGATACGTACCTGCTCTTCTCTCTCCACCGCATTTCTCGGCGAGAGTTTGAGCGCAGAAACAGCCTGAAGGCCGCCTAGGACCGCTGCGACAGCAATTGAAAAGCGCATAATACCGATGGAACGATGCGTACTCGCTAGCTACGGGCGCACAAGAGGCAGCACGCACCTATATATCTACCTCAGCACGCAGGGACACGGAAGTATGACGACGGTGATAGCTACCCTGTCAACCCATATCATAGACGCGAGAACGACCATGTTTAGGGAAGGTGGATAAAGTAGTGCGCCTGTGCTAGCGCAATGACGATGCTCGAAGAAGCAGGAGATAGGGTGATCGGCACTTGCGGAACCGTTGACAGTAGCAGACAGCAAGCTTTTAGGCTTGGATGCTTGGTTAAAATGCTCATGGCGTTGTGCAGGATGCGATGGACTGTCTTGCGCACTGAGTTGTACGCTGGAAGCTGTATCGTCTGCTGAGCATGACGCGGTCAAGACTTTCCAAGGATGTGTCCTGGTGTCGCGAGGTTGGCACGTTGGATGAGGCGGCCCCGCCGCCTTGCCATCCGCCAAAGTGCTCTCAGTGGCCAATCGGCTATACAAGGACGCTTCCATCTCCGCACCATAACAATAACTTTGTGCATGTACATTAGTTTTTGGAAATGCGACTATCACCTAAGGTATCTCTTTGGGCAGCAGTATCCGAGTCATCGAAATCGGTAGAGCTACTTAGGCACTGGACGCGACGGTTCGACACAGATTCTTTTGGTGAAATCATAAATCACACTCGCATATATACGGACCTCCTACATATCCGACGTCATATACCAGACACTAATCGCAATCTTCCTACTTTGTGACCTCAATGTGCGACACCGAGACGTCCTTCTCTCCACCAGAGACACCCTTCTCCTTGACGTCCATCAAGGCAGCCTCCCCGACATCAACCGCATCATCGCCGTCGAAGAACCTCGCAATCTCCTCCATGGGCGTATACCTTGTTTCCACGATGCAGAAGTAGATGACGCCGATCTCGAAAGCGAGGAAAACGCAATAGCAGATGTAGTACTTCCATGCGAGTGCATCGAGCGCAATACCATTCACGAACTGATTGAAGAAAAGAGCAGCTGTAACGCAGAAGTTGAGCCACGTGAAACCCTTGGCACGCAGACCATAAGGCAAGATTTCGGTGGTATAGCCGGCCATGATACCTGACTTGATATCGTAGAAAATGCCGTAGAAGAACTGGATGTCAAAGTCAGTATAGCCACTTGTGCATCGAAGAATGGCAGGCGAAACTTACAATACTAACGATAAATCCTTTACCAAGAGGGGCCCGAGGCGCAATGTCATACCTGGCGGAAATGATGGTGAAGATATTGAACATGACAAAAGTTCCGATGGTGGAAATACTGAATGGAGCGCCAAAAGTCAGTGCGTGTGTCACATGCAGTTGACACAGCGATACTTACAGATATATTGGACGACGACCGAGCTTGTCAACCAAGAAGGCGAAAAGGAAGTTCTCGCACAGCGCCAACGTTTTCATACCACCGTTGATACCAAGTTGTGTCTGAGGGTCAGTCAAGCCAACGTTATCCTAAGACGACGATGTACAAAGTCAGTGTGTATCTCAAACGCTGTTCGTACATGGAGCTTCTTACCATAACATATTTGAGGTAGTAGGAGATGAGTCCGTTACCACTCCATTGGCTGAAAAAGCCAATCGCAGTGATGATGATGATTCTCTTACGGTTGCCTTTGGTTTTGAGGAAGTCTGACCAGTTGGTTCGGTCTTGTTCTTTGTCAAGCGCGATAGCGGCGCGTACTTCGGCAAATTCGAGCTGGACAAACTCGTCATTCTCATTTCCTTCACCGTGCCAGCGGGAGAACACGGCAAGTGCTTCTTCGTGGCGGTCTTTGTTGCATAGCCAACGTGGAGATTCGGGCATAAAGAAGATAAAACCAAGAATTATAAGTGAGCAAATTGATTGTAGGAGGGAAGGAAGTCGCCAAGACCAGTCGCTCTATGAGAAGTTAGGATCACGTCTCTACTGGAAGATCAAGGCGAGATGTAAAAGGAGAAAGTCTTGACATACCTTCATCTGGAGTGTGCCATATGTGACCCAGGATGCGATGAACGCACCGGAGTGATAGCTGGCGCCAGAGAGCGTTACCAAAACTGCACGGTCTTGTGGATGAGCGATTTCCGCGATCAACAACGGCGCTGATCCAAGAACGATAGTGTCTCCGAAGCCCAGGACCAAGCGAGCTGCAATGAACATACCGATGTTCTGCGCCCCAGTCTGTATTGCGACAGCGAATAACATGATGACACAGCCAATTGCTACACCGATCTTTCTGCCTTTCCAATCAATGAGATAGGGAGTGAAGAAGAGACCGATGAGCGAGCCCAGAGACATGGATGAGTTGAAGAAACCGAGCATGGCACCACGTGGTTCTCCAAAGTAGTCTTGCCAGTAGGACAATGACTGAAGACCGTTCATCATTGATCCATCGAAGCCATTGGCAGTGTTCGTCAGAATCAGGATGACTATGTATATGTATAGTCTGCGCAGGTTGGCTCGCTTCCACCACGGCACCCTTGGGAACGCGCGACCAGCGAAGAAGAAATGTCCTTTCGGCGGTTTAATGGGTACAACCTTCTGAGTGGTCTTGGGTGGACGGAAAGAGATCGCCATCGTGGAAAACGGTCGTTGCTGTGATGAAAAAAGATGACACAGGTCCTACAGCAAAAAGGAGCATTGAAGATGCATGGGTTACTTGTATCTATATACGCTCCACGCCGCGCCACACACACAGCGTCCCAGAGGCATACAATCCTGGCTGTTGGCATCTTTCTGGTCTTACTTCGCACATCTCGGTAGCCAAAACAAACCCTTGGGAAGAAGCCAAGCTGGTTGAATGCGCACATTTGCCTGGCCTTGTCCCGCAGTCAAGCACGCATCTCTCGTATTTTACTCTTGTACTTCGCGCCACCAAGGCGCTGCGGTCTTGACAATTCTAGGTATTGTATCAGCAAGGCCGATTTGAACCAGTCTGAAGCCATGCAGCCACGCGACTGAGCCCTTAGTCGATTGCGGGGAAGTCAACTAGTCGTGCAGCAACCCCATGGGGTTCAACCGGTTAAAGAATGAACCTTATCAGCCTTCTACAACAAAGTCGTTGGTGATGGACGTGAGTATTGCCGCTTCTATTGCCGGTGTCGCGTTGCCAATGCTCGGAATGTGGAGAACTCTGTTGTCGCTAGGCCTATTCTCGTTAAGACGTAGTATTATGATTGGTCACCTAGGTCCTATCAGATGACAGTCCATCGTCTGAGCTTCAATTCTATGGCTTGCACGATTTCTACCGTTACCAAGGAGCGCGTCTAAATACCACAGTATCGGTACTCGACAGGCCTTGCAACGCACTGGGGTCTGTGCTGGGACTGTCCATCTACCCGGATCCTGAGCCGTTTCACGGCAGCTTGTCGATCATGTTTACCAGATAGTGATCTGGAAGCGTTTAAGCACAGAAGATCTATCGAAGAATTTGGTACATGCAGAATATATTTATGAAGAGGAAGACATATCTGTCGATGGGCATGTGTAGTTACGACTACATCTGTAGATGAGCTTCTGTTTTGGAAGGATCTTGGTATGCGTCTATAACCCAAAACGTAAGATGGTACCGAAAGAGATAGCGCAGCAGGGCCAAGAGTCCTTCACGCGACCAGCATGCGCATTTATCCGGCGGGAATATGTTCACGGTACTATCCCTGCGACTACCACAGTACACCAAGAGTAGTCTATGATTCAACTTTCTGGGTAATAATTCTGGTTTAGATTTTGGACCATAGAGCCATCAACATGGTGAACAGCAATCAGACTATCAACCCCATCGTTGGAGGGTTCGCTCCAGACCCCTCGCTTGTCCTCGTCGATGGCACATACTTCCTTGTCAACTCGACGTTCCATCTCTTCCCTGGTCTCCCAATCTATACGTCGCAGGATCTCATCCACTGGCATCAAATAGGGAACGCTATCAACAGGCGTGAGCAGCTCAGTTTCTCTAAGTCCTCCACTTTGGTTCACGATCTTGGTAACAATGATCATCTCTACGCTACAGGTGGCCTATACGCACCAACGATCCGTTACCATGATGGCACCTTCTACATCGTGTGCACAAATGTGGTGAATCATAAGGAAGAAGGCAAAGAGAGTTCCTTTCAGAACTTCATTGTCTTCACTACAGACATCTACTCGAGCGATTGGAGTGACCCCGTTTACTTCGAATTCTACGGTATCGATCCTAGTCTTTTCTTCGATCCTCACACTGGAAGAGCATATCTTTGCGGTTCAAGATCTCCAGGTCCGAAAACCAAGATCATACTTTTTGAAATCGATGTCAAGACGGGTAAAACACTGAGTGATGAAAGGGAACTCTGGCATGGTACTGGTGGCATCTATCCTGAAGGCCCGCATGTATATTTTCGAAATGGGTTCTATTACTTGGTGATTGCCGAGGGAGGAACACACGAAGGGCATAGCGTCACAATGGCGCGAAGTCATAGCCTTGAGGGACCGTGGGAAGCATCGCCCAAGAACCCGATACTGAGCGCTGCGGGTACCGATGAATACGTGCAGTGTACTGGCCACTGCGAAGCGTTCGAAGACAAACAGGGACAATGGTGGGGTGTTTGTCTAGGGATCAGAATGGGCGCTCCTAATCTATATGGACTTGGGCGCGAAACGTTCCTCACGAAGGGGACGTGGAGTGATGATGGTTGGCTCGCCTTTGATCGCGCGAAAATGCAAATCGAAAACCTGGATGTCGTACCTATCCCATCGAGAAGACTCACTGCCGCGCCCGACGTTGACTTCTTATACATCCATGACCCTATGCTGTCTCACTACAAGATCCTGGAACAACAGGTGACACTCACAGCTTCGCCAAACGGTCTGAAATCTGCGGATGTATCGCCTTCGTTCGTCGGTAAACGTCAGCGTCGATTGAATGGAAGAAGCAGCGTCACCGTTCTATCACCAGCACCTAGCTTCAAGCCGCTAAATGCAGGCTTTGCAGTCTACAAAGACGAACATCGCTTCATCTCCTTGTCGTATACCACGTCTTTGGACTCCTCCGCTCCCCGCATTAGGCTTCATGTATGCAATACAGCGAAAGGTATCGATGACCAGAAACACGCCAAACTAGAGAAAGCATTTCAAACTCTTCAACTTGTATGTGAGTATTCGGAGATGGAGTACATCCTGTCGTATGAAACAGACAGCGAAGAAGTCAAAGAGATAGGAAAGGTATCCACTATGGATCTGAGCGACAAAGATTTCGTAGGACCGATTATCGGTATATTTGCGGAGGGAGAGTGTGGAGAAGTTGACTTCAGGGATTTTGAGATTGACAGTGCATCATCGCGGGCCGTGTAAAGTGGCGACGATCGTGTGGTCTTCGCTCGCGAACCATGACGGGTCTTGCCGGTGAAATCTTCGGATGCACGATCTGCCATCGTGCATTGCCGCGATGAGTGTGGGGTATCAATGGCACGTTTCGTAGTCATATATATACATTTGAGTTTGCTCTCTTATTACCAGGATAGAAGGTGTTTATATTTAGGGTTCCCATCTTTTGCGTTGCTGGCCTTCGTATCATCATGTGTATCCGTGAGATCCTTTGCTAGACATTTTTGTAGTTATGTTGCAGTGCACTAGCGGGTAAATAATACCGTGCTCTGCAGCATTGGACGGCTCTGGTAGGAGATATATACTCCGAGCCTAAGATGGGCGATATTGATGGCTCGCATCCGAGCATCGACCCAAGCCCTGGCAGAGAGCACTCCATCCCTTCTTTGGGACGCACTCAGAACTCAAGTGCCTATTTCGATCCGGTGTATGGCGATATTGGCGTGTTTAGTTGCTCAAGTTCTGGTAATTGTAAAGTCCTTAGAGACCTGGATAGCATCGAACGGCAGTGGCTCTGAGGTAAGTTTTCGTTCGGAACTTGCGTCGTCGCCCGTAACAGTGATGTTCGTTTGGTCTTTGTCGTGCTGTGTGAAGTTAGCTTCATCGATCGCCCTGTGCCTGCTTCATGAGACTTACCAACTCCATCCACTGAGTGTAGTGACCCGGTCTCGCTTGCTGCGATCCCAGACCACCAGTGTTCGACCTCTTGATTGCACTGAGTCTTCCAGTATTGCTCATTGATGCGCTCTTGTACTTTTGGCGCCATTGAAGGTAGAACGGGCGTAACATGGGAATGTTGATACAGAGACCGGCCAGCATGAGCTCGATAGTGCAGAGCATAAAGGTCGTTCCCGATGTACCTGTGAGATTGCCGATAAGATCTGTGCATTGTCAGTCTTTCTGCCCAGCTTGTCAAAGCGTGTAAGCAAGCATAACTTACCAATAGTATATATGAGGATGAAACGCGCGATGCTAATAACCACACAGGCCAAACCCAAGCCGAAACATGCCAGTACAGCAAGCTTTTCCGTCTTTCGCATTTGCAACTGCCACACGCAGCGGATTGGGATTACCACGATCATGAGGTCGGTAGCCATGTTTGACAAGATCAGACACTTGAGCAGCAACATTTGATCCATACAGTGTCCAACTCGTTCGATGGTCCACTGTTGCGAGATAGGGTCGCAAAGGAAGATGAAAACGAAGTTGAAGATAATAGCCCAGCTGACGACTATACCGCCGACGATGTAGACTGCAAGGCGCAATTGGAGCTGGAAGACGCGGTGGTATAGAGCCAGTTGTGAAAGCTTGAGAGCTGCGAGACACCAGATATAGATCAAAGTGAAGGCAAACGTTATCTGCATGATAACAGGAAGGTTGTGCATCACTGTTGAGTTGGTTAGTTGATTCGCCTCCTTTAAACGCAACAACTTCTAGAGCGGACGTACGCTTGGGGAACATCTCAGCATTGTTCTTATCCAAGTCATAACCAACTCCGATCGTGAAAACTGTCTGGGTGTCAACTCTATATCCGTAACTCTGGCGAAGATCCAAGTCTTACCCACAGCATTCAACCCGATGGTACTTGTCGATAGGACCTTCAAAAATTGTGAGCTCGGATGTCAAGTATGGAGATAGCGCGATGCGTACCAGTGCAATGCCTGCGAAGACATCGTCCAGTGCCAATCCAGGTCCTCGCATGCGACCGCGAAACCGAAAGAAAACAGTGGTTGCAAAGAGCAGCCATAGACATGACATCGCTATCATTGAATCACGGCTGCTCCGGGTCATCGGTATACTGATCGTTTCCACCATGTCGGCCATCTTGCTCTGTGTGAGCCACGCACGCAGTCAACGCGTCCAGGCAGTGCTACAGAGATGCAAAGTAATGAACAAAGTACTAAAAGAGTGGATCCGGCCGTGAGAACTGGTGTTGACGAAAGAACGAAGGAGAGAAGACCGGGCGACGAGTCGGGGCGACAGAGTGTTCATAAAACCTGATCCATGCTGTGGTCTCCTGTCTTCCCTCAAAACTCCCCTTGACTTTCGTCAATGATCGCATTGCCCGTTGGGTTAGCGGGCCTGGCCTTGCGGACCGAAAACAGTTCCCTGCCTGTCAAAGCCAAATAGTGGGGGCCTTAAAGAGCATTGCCACAAACGTTGGCCGAACATTTGAACTATCCCTTTCGGATGTGTGTTCGAGCTCCCCGGATACGCATGCAGATAATTCAAACTACGCGAGATGACGATCGTAATGAAGCGCCATGAATCTCGTGCATTCCTGCACGTTAAGCCGTAACGGAAATACAGACATGAGGCCTGAAAGGGAATAGTAAACTACGGCGATATGTTGCCGGCGGTGAAACGGTCTAGCCCAGGATGTGACCCACAGGGCCAAGGGTCTCTGCCGGGCGCCTCATCCGCTTGCCGTATGACAGCCGCAACTCTCCGTCTCGAGGGTCATCGGCAGCATGAATTAGCAGGGAATGGACAGAGACCTCATGTTCGTCTCCACATCCCTGGGCAAGGTCTGTTCTTGGCTTGAGTTGCATTCTGCCTGTGGCGGCAGGCATGCCGAGCATGTCTTCCAGAATAAATATGCAAATTCTCCGACCTTGAAAACAGCCCTGTCCCAGATTCTCGGGTCTTCTACTAGCCAGGCGCACCATTATTGCGCGCTGGTCGACGGTATTGTTTGTGTCTTAAGACCATGGGGCTGATAGCGAAGAGTTTTGAGTCCCAGACTTGGATTAACTCAAACGGACAACATTCCCGCAAAGACTCGCGCAGAGTGCGCGCATCTCCACTTGAGCATGTGGCATCCCTTTCCACGTGGCGCTATGATCCTTCAAGGTCCTAGGGCACCAATGATACCACTCTCAAATGAAAACCCAGTGGGGTCGATACGGCGCATTCTCGGCGCTGGACACGCGATGCCCGTTCTTTCGCCAAGTGCGGATGCACTGCAAAAGCCAGCAATCGGAAGGAGAAAGGATCGACCCTGTTGAGCCATCAGTCGACTAGAGACACTCCATTGGTATATACCATTGCCCTCGCTGAAACGATGCCATGCAATCGCGTTCTCCTTTGTGCAGTTGTGCGTCGTCGAACTGCCCAACATTCCCAACATGGACGACCATTCGGGCCTTTCACAGGACTCCAAGTCAGTTTTTCCCTTCGCGATCGCGACATGGCTTGCCGTTCTCTGGATAGGCTATAGGATCGCTATTGCCGCTTACAACATATCACCTTTCCATCCATTGTCTCATTTCCCAGGCCCAAAGATCGCGGCTGCATCCTACCTCTACGAAGCATACTATGACTGGTGGCTCGGAGGACGATATGGCAAAGTCATTGCCCGCATGCACGAGCAATACGGTCCCATCGTACGCATAAACCCAGACGAACTACATTGCTCCGACCCTGCTTTCACAGACGAGATATATGCTGGCCCCGGTCGCTCGCGCGACAAGTGGCAGCATCAACTGAACACTGGTGGAGTCGGACCTGTTGCGGTAACTGGATTCTCGACAGTCGACCATGACCTACACCGCGCACGGAAGGCGCCATTGAGCAAGTTTTTCTCGCGTCAACAGATGTTGAAGCTGGAGGGCGAAGTACATGAGTTTGCCATGATGACGGCGAACAAGATGCTCACTTTCGCTGGGAAAAGCGCCTTTGACGTCAAAGAAGCATTCAACTGCTATACTGCCGACGTGATTTCCCAATACGCATTCGGTGAGCCCATGGGTTTTGTCGCACAGGAAGGCTGGGAACCAAACTTCGCAACCTGGGTCAAGTCATTCTTCAAGAGCGCATACATGATGCGTCACAACGTTTTGGGTCGAAAGATGGCGCAGGTCCTACCGTTCATGGCTGATTATCTCGGCGAAGATATCAAGGCTGTCATGCGAGTCATGAACGTAACCATTCCCCAGTACATTGGCCAGGCTTTGAAGAACCCAGAGAACGGACGTGTTTTCGCTGAAGTTATGGGTAAGGACAAGACTATGTCTGAGGAGGAGAAGTTCCGCTACAATGGCGAGGGTTTCAACTTTTTGCTTGCGGGTACCGAAACTACAGCTGTAAGTATCAAATGGATTTCGCCTCTAAATTTCGAGGACTGACGATGAATGCAGGCTATACTTACCGTCTTCACCTACTGGACATTGGCAAAGCCAGAGGTTCACCAGAGACTCCTGGCCGATCTGTCCAGCGCCGGTATCAACCTACAGACGCTCAAATGGGTGGAACTAGAGAAGGTACCATACTTCTGGGCTGTCCTGCAAGAGTGTCTGCGCATGATGCCTGGTGTGTCCCATCGCTCAGCCAGGATTGCTCGCTTGGAAGACTTACATTACGTGTCCGCGGATGGCAAATCTGACTGGGTCATTCCGAGAGGCACCCCCATTGGCATGACATCCATGATCAACCACTGGAACAGGGAGCTTTTCCCCGACCCCGATGAATTCCTTCCCGAACGTTGGCTATTGGAGGATGGGTCGCAAAACTACACGCTGCAAAAGAAGCTGATCGCATTCGGAAAAGGAAGCCGCAGCTGCATCGGTGAGCAGCTGGCTTACTGTGAGCTGTACATTATGGGCGCGTACATGGTACTCAATGTTCTTCCGAGGGCGAAGCTCGTGGATACCGTGAAGGAGGACATCGCATATGACCATGACTTGATTGTTGCGCAGACGACGAAGGGCTCCATTTCTGTTCGCATCGCTATCGAGTAAATGGGCTCTTAATATTGTGAGGGTGGCAAGGGTTACTAGTTTGAGTAGGAAAATACATGATTGATCATGAACAATACCGACTTGGTAGAGGCCAAGCAGGACGCGCTGGAGAGTGTAGTGACGCGTGTTGTATGTCTGTTGATGTTGGAAGTCGCGACTAGGCTGACGCCGGCGCTTGGCCAAGAGGGTTCCACCCAGCCACGTGCTATCATATTCCGCAGCGCGACTTTCCATGGCTGCTTCAGCAGTACACCTCGCTTTGACCTATGACCCAAGCGTCAATCCCTATATACCCTCAACTTCTGCAGCGCTCAGTGAGTACACACGTGGTTACAGTCAAGTCCTGGAGCGGAATTACGTCCTTATTGGCGCGAGGTTGTCCACGCTTAGTCGTGCTATCGGCGCCCAAGCAGCGTATGGCATCTACAACAGCCATAGGTCCCTTCCCAGACACTCTCTATGCGCAGCCATTCAAACCCAGTAGGAAGTAAAAGTGTGCCTTATGGCACATCACTATCCGTGCCCACACGTTCCTGTCAGGCCGCAAGACTTGCGCATCGCTGACAAGCCTGCAGTAATAGCAGCCATTGCGCGACGTTCGCTTTCCACTGCAGTGGCTTTCCGCAGGTGTTAGGCTGTACTTGTTTCGACCTGGAAAAACTCATAGATGCTTGTCAGCGAAGGGTGAAGTGGCAACATTGTTGTGTTCATGTTTGTCTATACTCACAGATCATAGGCGCCCCACATGCGATCCAGGGAGCTTGGGGCACACTACTTTATGTAACCTTGGAACTACTGGCAACAGTTGTTCTCCGTCCGGCATCATCATCTCTGGGAATGAAGTATCAATTCATTTTCCTATTGTCGCAGCTTGCGCTTGTACCTACAAGTTCTCGCTAGTGAGCTCCAAGTCCACTTGGTGGGGCTAGGTATACTTTGCAGCCCATGGGCCACTTTTTCGCACAGATTACCCCAGCTTCGGCAGTGACAAGTTGGACAACATGGCGCCCATTGCTCTCCGAAAGTGGTTCGATACGCCTCTGACAGAACATATGCTGTGAACCCAGATGCCGATCCTGTTCGACTCACAGTGGATGCCTACAATGAGATCACTCTGACGCCCTCACATCGCGAAAAGAGTCTCTTAGATGTGGCTCACGATTTCTTCATTCACTAATCCTAGAGTGCTTGATACTCCCTGAGCCTATACATCACTCGACTCACAGACGGATGTGAAGGGAATTGGCTGAAATTTCTCAAAAGCTCATAAGGAGGGGCGCATTACTGTTTTCAGTCATGGTGCTATTCGCAGCTGAAAAAAAACTAGGGCCTCTGCCAGTACAAAATTGATGTGTGGCATCTACTTTGTCTGTATTGGATGAGGCTGATCAGCATACACGCGTAGCAGGTGCCAAGCATCGTGCTCTGAGAATAAGCTTTTACGCACTTGCTTGTTGAGTGGTGGCTGGCCATGGCATATGTATAACATGCAATACTATAATAGATATTATGCCCCCCGTCTTCCGTCTCCTTCTTGACATGCACTCCGAACTTGAAAGCCTATTCGATTTGCAGGTGCTTGTTCCGACGGCGCTTCCTGGTATCTCACCGTCATCTAGCGCTCGGAGACACCGCTCCTTGACGACTGTCGCTTTCGATCCTGTTCCATGCCAAAGAATGCGCCGTTGACGCTGCAAATAAGTTCCAACGCGCGACATGTGACAGGGCGAAAACGACACGCGGCACTATGCAGCGTTTGCCCCTGGGAGCGCAATCGGCAACAAAGATCTGCAGTGTTCCGAGCATCGACACGTGCCCTGAACCTACCATGAACTCAGGTACGTCCGGAGAAGTTAGCATATGACGTATGGTGCGGGATTTTAGTGAAGACGGGCGGTTTCGAGAAGAGTGACATTTACACAGCCCCATTCTTGGCAGGTCGAAATCCAGACGGTGGTCGCCGCTAGCTATACGGCAAGCGGACCTCAAATGCTCGCACACTCTCTTTGACCCACGAAATTCATCTTTTAGGGTCCGAAGACCTCTCGAGTCTCAATGGTCCAGGATGTCTTCTCACTGCACAACATCGTCGGCAGCGACGAGTCGCACTTTCCGTTTTCCCTCAAGGACTACCAACGCTATGTATTTGGCGACGACCGACTAGCGCATCGCTTGGGCACGGACCTATGTCGAGCTTTCATTCCCACCATTTCCAACCCTACAGACGACTTCGCAGTTGCCGTTTTATCCGAAAAGGTCCCCACGGCCACTCATAGGCTGCGCAATCACTTCGTCGCTTACCTCAATCGGCATCTGATCGCGAATAATGCGACTCCGGCCCTCAAAATCGACTTCCACATGGCGGGGGTGAATGCAAAGACCCGGGACGATCCGCAGTGCAACAGGAAAAGCGCTTATCACATCGACGCCGAACGCCTGGGGAACAGGACTCTCATTGTACTGACCGAAATCCGAACGAGCCAAGACCGCGAGGACCAGATACGATCTTCATTTGGGGAACGTGGCATAACCACCATTTTCGCCTATCTGGCATCTCTGGATGGCTCCGCAACGACTGCAACCATCTCATCCTTCTTATCTTCGGTTGTCAGTCCGTCTATGAGAGACATTGAGAGCATCGCGCAGTCTACTCATTTCGTCATGAACGAATGCTTTGTCCAGTTTACACTAGGAAGGGAGTATGAGGAGTTTTGCAAATTCATACGACGACAAGACGACCACTTCGTAAGAGAGCTATTGGATCATGCCATCACTGGTCACTACTACAACGACGACGATCATGAACACAACGTACAATTTCTGATTTGGGAGCTCGAGGCGCGGGAAAGCGTTTAACGGCCACGGCTGTGATTAGCAATACAGCACGGCAGACGGTAGCGACTGCTACCGATAATACTATAGTACCTTCACCAATCCCTATACTTTCGTACTTGCCTTCCTTTGCATGCACGCAACAAAATCAGCGCTCACATTCCTCTTGTCATACCTTAAGTTGTGCCCTTTACTGACATCGCGTGGGATTGCCAAACTGACAAGTATACATCTGCACTCAGCTTCGCAACCAATACCAGGCTCAAAGCTGAGCCTTTCAACACCTCAAAGATTTTTGCTTTGTCTAGTTGTCGTGATTTCGCATCGGCGTGTGCAGCATGCTAGATCCGGAGATGCTGAATTTTGTTCTTTGTCCACTTGTTGCTCCACTTCAAACATCGCAATCACAACTATACTTGTACCCCATACTTCAATCAATTTCCTCAATTTGTAATTCAATATCACGAACAACGTGAGCACCTAGCAACTATGCCGGTGGCGTCAAATCACCATACGCGCAATCAGTCGCATCGAAGCCTGCAAGAATTAGGAAGCATCAAGGATCCCCAGGACCTCGCCTTCCTGAACCAGCCTTGTTACCATGAAACAAACGTTGATTTGAGCCAGATCACCGTGGGTACGTTTCAAAGTAGGAGAAAAGAGAGCGAACCCGTACGCTCGACAACGCAGCTGTGCAATGCGTTTCAAGACGGCCAGCAAACTCTGCTTCAATTAACTAAATTGTACTCGGTAAGACACTTCCGGTACATCAAAGGGTTGCGCAACTTATTTGCTGACTACGTATTAGCTGCATATTATAGTAGCCGCAAGCTTGTACATGTTCTTCTTTGAAGTCGCCGTCCGCCTACCCTTCCTCCTCGCTGTTGCCTTTGCAATTCCTTCCATTCATGTGCTGCTGGTGCCAGAAAAACCGGTAACTGACGATAACACGTACAATGACGATTCTGAAGGTCTTTGTCGCCGATATTCCATCAATTCAGTAGTTCCTGGTGAACCTGTCGCACAGTACAAGACCGTAGGAGCCTTGCATCCAGCCGCTGCCACCTTCCCCGGTTTAACAGTCTTCTCACCCTCAACATGGTTTCCACGCGCCACGGACAGCATAGATTTTCGGCACAAGAGGCAGCGATTACATACTACGTTTCGCGAATCAGCTTACCAACCTCGGCGTACGTTTCGTGAAGCTTTCGAGGATACATTGCCACGAGTGCTCAAAAGCTGGACCATGTTCGTTTTCAGGACCATGTTCTATCAGATTACATCTCAAGTCACTGTGTTCATTGTAGAACGCGCATACGAGGCTATGACGGGAGAGGAGATGAACGTAAGTGCCTACATCATGAACACTCTGCGTTTTTACTGGGACTGGGCAGCTGGTATGAGTGGGTTTGCGTTGCATAGCATCAAGTGGATTACTTTGGGCTTCACTATGCTCCTTGATCAGCTCTTAGTATGGCTAGGAAGGCAGATAACAATGGTCACTGAAGCCATGCACGATAGAAGGCTGCAATATGAAGGTTTGAACGCAGTGCAGTTCTAAGTGGCACTGAGGCTACGTTATGGAGAAAGTCAGAAAAAGGCACAGGGGTCGGTTTTGGTCGATGTATGCGTTAGGCGTTTCCGTCACTTAGGATCTTGCGTCAACAGCGAAGATATGTGATTGTAAGAATGGTGTTTGGTCCTTTCCTTGCACGCGCTACAAATGATGTCTACTATCGTTGTTTACCAGTAGCATGTTTCCAATATAGCTTTAATCGATGCAATACTTCAATCGGATATCCGTCAATGTATCAGGAATTTTACGAATAACAATATTGTGACACATTCTCTTTGTTCATCCTCATAGCCATTCAAATATCATCACTGACAAATATGTGCTGCCTAACGTTCTCTGCCCATACATCATATAATCCCCAGAGAAACAGAAATCTCCAAGCAAGATGAAGCCGATCATCTTAGCCGCCACAATACCACTACTGGCAACATCCCTAGCGCACTCATGGCTACACTGTACCCAGCACAACAACACTGGCATAAGAGCAGATATGGCAGCTGCAGCAGCTGAAACACCACCCAGAGAAATTGATCCACTGTACGTACGTTCTGCACAACGACGTGTACTGAAAAGGAAAACGGCAGACTGACCATGTCACAGCGGACCCTGGTACGCAGAGCTCTGCCACGGTTGGCTCCGCGCAAAGCAGAATCCTGGGAATTGGCAGGATGAAGGCCTTGAGTGTATGCTATCTCTATCCTCGTCAACTGGTCACGTACTCTGCTCTCACTTCCTTCCACGGCTAATCACCTACAGATCTATGGGACCCCCCCGCCGCTGCCTCAAGATCCGACACACACGCATGCCACCCAAGCCAACGAGGCCCCCTTCAATACTTGGCCCCCTCTATCCCACAAGAACCTGGTCACAAACCGCCCACACATACTGCACCCGCTCCTATGGTAACCGCCTCGGCTGGGTCATCTATAACCCTCATGTTCGGCGGCAACGGTCACAGCCGTGGTAACTTTGGCGGTGTTGAGATGGGTGACCCAGGGAAAGTATCTGTTTATTGGGCCGGTAGCAAAGAAAAAGAAATTGTAGATGTAAAGGAGTTGACGGAGGAGAATCTCATGCAGAGGAACGGGTTCAGTGAGGAGAGTTTCGCATATCCGTTGGATAAGAAAGTAACAGCGCCAGGGTGGGGACCGGAAGATCTTCACGACAAGGGAAACTGGCAAACGTTGCATCTGTAAGTCCATATTATTTTCTTCTCAGTATCGTATTAAGAAGAGAGGAAGAGGCTCGATAGAACGTCGTTTCACTAACAGTCCTCTACAGGCCAGAATGCATGGAGAAGGGACGGCACATGATGATAAGGGTGTGGAGTTTTGGTGGTGCAAATAAGTATAGCACATGTTTTGATGTTATGGTCGTGTGAAAGGAAGGCGAAGAAGGTAGGTCAGGAGGGGTGTTGCAACTGTGGACGTATACGTTAGAGATGTATGTGCAACATGATTGTATACATCAGTGCTTCGCCTCTCTCTGTCCGCTCGCTGTTCCTGCTTCTCCTCTTGCATGCGCAGTTGCGTTGCTCTCTTCCACCAGCTTTAACGGACGGTATTCTGCTTCCCACATCTGTTCTCTGATCCATTCCTCTAACTCTGCATCGTCACTTGGTATGTCCTTCTCTTGAGCTAGATCATCCTCTATAGCCTTCTTGATCACGTTCCTCGCTATTTGAACGCTGATCTCACGAACGTCTTCCACATCTGGAAGCAGGCCGGCTCCACGATTGTTGAGAACAGGAGCTGCCGAAGCGAGGGCTTGAACAGCTGCAACGAGGAGAGCGGGAGTCATAAGACGGGCTCGACAGAGAACCGCGCCGAGGCCGATACCGGGGAATGTCACCGAGTTGTTGCATTCAGCTTGTAGTCGTCAGTAACGTGAACGCAGAGGTAGTATCAACGGACTCACAGATATCGTACTCCTTGCCATTGTGTTTAACCGGCGGGAATGGCGAACCTGTCGCAACCAGAGCTTTGCCATCGGTCCAGTCATACAGATCTTGCGGCTTGGCTTCGTGGAGCTTGGTTGGGTTTGAGAGTGGAAAGATGACGGGGCGTTCGACGTGTTTTACCATTTCTCGAACGACGTCTTCCGAGAAGGACCCAGGCTTGGTCGAGGTACCAATGAGCACGTGCGGCTTCACTTCCTTGATGACGGACAGCAGATCGCCGTGCTCTTTGCCCTCCCACTCCTTATCGTCCCGCGCAAACGGAAGCTGGGCTGGAGTAAGTTGGTCCTTCTTACCCTGTAAGAGAAGACCGGGTTTATCGACGCACCTGATCGAAGTTAGCATGCATTAGCTGACTGGAGCTGTGGAGTAAGATACCAGATTTGGCGCCCGGCTTCTTCTTTAGATTTTCCAGTGTTTTGGACTATAGCATCTTGGATCTGATCTGCAATTCCCGTACCCGCTGATCCTGAGCCGAACATGACAAAGCGAGCTTCTTCCCATTTGGTTCCGCTCACTTTAAAAGCTGCCATGATCGCTGCGAGCGTCACGCAACCGGTCCCTTGTACGTCGTCGTTGAAACATGCGATCTCAGGTGTGTACTTATCCAGGATCCTTCGTGCATTGTTCAGTCCAAAATCCTCGAAGTGGATGTACGCTTTAGGGTAATGCTTCCTTGCAGCCGTTACAAACTTGTCGACGAAGTCATCGTATTTCTCGCCAAAGACTCGCTCTTTCCGTATGCCGAGGTATAGCTCGTCGTCGAGGAGATCTTTGTTCTACGTTTATCAGCATGCCTCATCTTATCAGACTCTCTATACTGACATCGGTGCCGCAGTCAAGTACTACGGGCAGCGTCCGCGAAGGATGTATTCCAGCACATAGCGTGTAGATAACGAGCTTGGCGATGCTGATCAAGATAGCTCCTACACCTTGATCGCCAATTCCCAGAATCTGTTGACCGTCGCTCACGACAATTACATCGATATCCTCGGGGTTCCCCCACTGTTTCATGTCGTCCTCGACGCGGTCTGCATCGTCGATGTTGAGGAAGCAACCTTCGGGCCGTCGGAAGATTTTGGAGTAGTCTGCTATGGCCTCGCCTTCGGTGGGGGTGTATATAACAGAGAACATTTCCTTGAGGTGGTCGAGGATGAGCTGCGTAGTCGTCAGCCGTGCCATGACCAACACTGTCAACTGTAGCGCACCCTGTAGTATAGCACCTCGTTCTGTTCCTTCAGGCTGGTCATGAAGGTGTTCTTCGCAAGGTCGCTCGGTCGGGAGTTGTACTGGGCATATGCGCGTTTGACCTGCTCGTCGAGGGTCTGGATGTTGGTGGGGAGGAGGCCATGGAGCTTGAAAGTGTCGCGCTCTTCCTTGGTGAAGGCTGAGCCCTTGTTGAAGTACGGCGTCCGGAGAAGTGCATTGCCCTGAATGGCGCGTTAGTCGTTTGGTAGCCCGAGCGAATTTACACGTCGTACCGTCCTAAAGGTGCGCGTGCGAAGTCAGTGTATGTCTCACATGCAGTTCGTACAAAGACACTTCTTACAGACTGGTCTCTAGAGGCCCGGATGTAGAAAGAGGCAGATGCCCGAATTTGACATTCTTTTGCTGTTTTGTATCAGACGACATGCTTGCGATATGCTTTCCGTGGGTGATACGCGGGGCTCGAGATATGCGACTGGGTACCCGCTGGGTTGCTAGCAGCGCTTGCCTGGATATCGACGATTTGCACCAGGGAAGCATATCCTGTCAGCAGATGCTACAGGCCAGTTGTAACATCTGTCGCAACCCCGCCCTAAGCGCCATGTATTCCCGGCCATTTCCGACATGTTGTTGGGCACGCACTTGGTTGCGCGTCGTAGTTTCGGTATGATGACGTCGACGTGAAGCTGCCCACTGTCACCGTGCACGTGGCACTTGTTGGTCGTTCCAAGCTACTGGGTACATCTCTCTTAGTCTTCTGCTACTCAACGCCACAGCTAACTTGACTCTTCTTGAATTGTTTGATAATTGAAGCTGAATTTTATCTTGCGGCCATCTTCGGATAGAGATCCATGTGTGGAGGATTGCTTGAAAACTCAGAGATCGTTTGGTAGTGTTTTGCAACACGCGACGAGGCCGCAGCGACGTACTGAGGTAGAAACTCAACTGAGAAGGTATTGCTACAGATGAAGTATCCAGGGATGTTACTGCGCGATCTTCCATTTACTGGTAAGCACGATCTGATCCTATGGGCAAACGCCGTAGTCATGCGCTACCATCGGTTCGAAGAGCAATCCATTCGCTTTATACATAGGTGCTTCAAAATGCCTCGTATTCTTTCATGATAGCTAGCCTCATCTTCAGTTTCTTAGATCATAGACATGGACGAAATGCCCGCAACTGAGCCTTACGAGCCGTACCAGCACGCGGTCCCATCACATTCAGACGCGACCTCCGCTACGAACTCGATTCCACCCAAGCTCGCGCAGGTTCTACCCAGACTTCGCACTCCAGGTATTACACCCACGTGGATCACAGACTCTCTCGTCCCTATGATTAAGCTCGCGTATGGCTCTAACCTCACGCAAACCGAGTTCGATGACGGGACATGGTCCGAAGTCATCGAAAAAACAGACTTACTAATCCAAGCAATGGATCGAGCAAACGTTGATGATTCCTTTATACAAACCTACTATGAGGCATTGAGAACGAGAAACAGAGATTTCAATGAAGACATGATAACAATAGAAGGAGCTAGCAAAGATAGTAATGGCGAATTCTGCGAGATCCTGGCGGACAAAGGAGGAGATTTCGCGATTGCTATGCTTATGGTATTGAGGACTATGGAGAATGTGGCGGATGGCGATGGGAGTAACAAGACAGAGTCGAGTGAAGAAACAGGTGGGGAAGAGGGGAAGAGTAAAACGGAAGGGACCAGTGGTACGAAAGATGATACTGCACATAATAGCGGGGATGCTACTGAAGTCATGGGAGAAAGTACTAATAGCAGCAAGAGGGGAAGAAAGAAGAGAAAAGTGGCGAAAGGACTGGGTGGTTCAAGAGATGTACTGAGTTAGGCTAGATCTTATACAGCCTCCCAGCGCCCATCACTGTCATCAATCCCAAATGTTGTCTCACTGCTTTGGCAAGAATAAGGTCCAAAGACCCAACACATACAGCTTCCATGCCAAGCTCAGAAGCCGAGACACATTATTCCTACAAGAAAAGAGGCGTTCTAGAGCTTCAGCTTCCGTATCTCGAAGATTCCCACTGAAAAATAATACCTCTACCAGCCACCTGCAGGCGGTTGTCCAGGGTTTGTCATATCACAGCAGCAACCATTGTTGACGCATTTACAGTGGCCAGAGAAGCCCTAGTAAAGTAATCAGCTCGAGGACTATCTTTGAGTCATCTGAATCATCGATACACCTTCGAGGGAAGAGAGATGTGAACTAAGGAAGACATACTTCGCATGGACACTCGACACAGGCAATATGACTAGTACCCTCGACATTGTTGTCATCGCGCACCGAAATGGTCTTGAAGGAACGGCTGAGCGAAATCTGATGGTAGTGTGTTAGTCAGGCATTTGACACTGTGGTTTGGCAAGACATACGGCTCCAGGAGCGGCAAGAACAGTGGCGGTATAGATCACTGTGCTGATGACAGCGAACTTCATTTTGACTTAGCGTTGGAAGAGTCGGAAGATCGTTGTTTTCCCAAAGAAGAGGATATTTGTTCCAAGTCGTGGTCTAGGGCAGAAGAGTAAAGAGCAACGAAGATCTCTGCGGATAGAGAGGGAATGCGAGGTGTTGATAAAGTGGATAGTGAGAACGGGCAGTCCGGCAGGGACGAAGAGGCGCTTTAATACGCCATCCTTTTGATACACAGTCGCCCTTGCCGCTTTGCTGGAGACACGGATGAACCACTCCCTTTTCCCGTTCTAGTACCCCATGATCCCATCGAATACTGGATAGTGTGCTAAGCTGCGGTCGAATATTGATTCACCCCCAATTCCATCATCTTCTCCTAGCCGAAATGTACGGCGCTGCCGATGGAGTACTGCTGCTTTGTCGCACTGGCTGGATGAAATGTCAATGCTGACTTCGCTGCACGCTGTGATCCATCGTCTTTCGGCGCCACCGTGTTGCAGTATTGCCAAGTTGATGCATGATCCCTTAGTCTGACTATGGAGAGTCAAAGCTAGGGTTATTAGCTGGGTAAGAACTGCATTCCTTCTACGGCTATGAAAGATGGTTACGTGATTTAACCTTCCTCTTCTAGAGTCCAAACGTAGTAGCCAGCCTCTCGAAATAGGTATACCATTTAGCAAGAAACCGAGTTCTGATGCCTTGACCGGTCCTGGAAAGCTACCAGGTAGATAAGACAGGTGTGCTTCGCCGCACTCTTGCAGAGGCATGCGGCCACTCCATAGTTAATATCCGAGCGCTCCCGGGGACTCTCGAATGAGTCGATGCCCGGTAGCTAATGAAAAGACGGTTGTGCTGCGCCGTACTGCTGCTTACCTACGCCCTAGGGGCTGGAATGTCAGCATGAGAGAAGGCGACCATAAGATGCTACGAACGGAGTGGTTTGCACGACATTTCCGCGCTTTCCAAACTGCTAGGGAAGTAGTGTGGGAATTCTATACCGGCTTTGGCTTGAGGCTTCGGTCGGTCATTTGCTTGTACTCCTCCCCGAACCACAATGTACCTCGGCTTTACGCACGCCCAATAAGCCCTTATTCTAGATTTCCTGAAAATTGACGGTTGCTCTCGAAGCCGTTTTGAATATATAAATGAGAGTATGTGCGTGCACATGGGATTGGCGGAGAAACTGAGTGGAGTGAAATAGAGTGGAGAGGAAGATGATGGCCATTACGTCATCTTTAAACTGCGTCACTTGCGCAGACGCGTCCTCACATAAACGCTAGGACGCGACTGCCCTTCTGCTACGCCAGCACCGGAAAGCCGCCAACAATGTTTCCCCGATTATGTTGAACAAGTCACTTCGTATGCACAAACGCCCTATTGATCAGTCCGCCAAACTTCTGCTACTGAAGCGACGTTCGCAGCCACGAATCCCTTCCAAATTATCCCGCCGCCATCCATCTCTCCCGAGATTCCCAACTACAATCTCGACAACAACATTTGTTTTAAGTGTATCATTCTCCCAGCATGAATATGGTGGCATACTCAACTATCGGTATTTCAAAAGGCTCGCAGTACCTCTGAATGCTCAATGTCCTGCGCTCCTCACTATGCTTCCGACAGAAGTGCGCCTTAAAGTTTACCAACGGCTCTTTCACCGTGATCAGCCAACTGTCTATACAGGTCGCTTATCAGATCAGGTACACGATCATAGTCTGATTATCTAGCACGGTCATGACATACCCATCCACGGTCAACGTGAAGGTGTTCGAGCCGCGTTCGCCATGAATTATGCCTTCTGCTACTCGTTTCGTAATGTTTCATGTCGATTCGCTGTTGAAGAAGTGATCCAGTGTTTGTCAAAGTATTTTGTGAATATGATCGATGCACGCCTTCAAAGCGCTACATGTCTCTGTCATCCCGAAGAAGGCATTTTATCATCCCGGCACGGTGAAAATGATGCCTTATTCACTACAGTTATTTACATCGCTACCAGCCACTTGCAAGAATGGAAATGCTACAGTGTGGAGGCCGCTTTCACACAGAGTACAAAAAAGTTGAGGTGAATGCGGCGCCCGGTATCACGTACTTCGGGTTTCACCTTCTTCAATCCCAGTGGCCCTCTCGCAGTGTCTTCAGCATTTTTTGTTACGGATCTCACTGTCGCTAAGTTATATTGCCTAACATGAGCGCCCCGACGCTGCCTGTTGACCTGCAATGGGTCGCACATACGCTGATGCCCTACCTGCGCTACGCTTTCCAGCATGTTTTGCATCGTAATCTCGATATTACGCCGTACATTCAGCGCGTGCTCGACTCTTCTACCAGCAAGTCTGTGGGTTACCTCGTGTCTGTACTTGTTTCTGCTGCAATCGGAGAACTAACATGGGCCAGGGCTCCTACACCGATGGTGATGGCCTCGTCTTCGAGCGTGTCTTCTTCGCAATCGAGCGTCGCCACCAAGACCTTCCGGCCGAGCTTAATGATTTCACGGAGAACCTAGAGTGTCTCGCTTTGTTTCTCATTCGTCGCGCGCAGGAGAAGGGTCCATACCGGTTACTGGGTCGCGATATTCCGCCTAGCGACGCCTGGAAGAAGTATGAGAGTGAAAGGATCACACAGGTTGCAGCCAAGAACGTAAAAGGTACGTGTGACCCTTCCCTGAATCTATTGCTTAATGGTTTTTCCTATCACTTCTTCCACTTCGCGCTACTCAATCAACGCTTACGCCTCCTCTAGTAATGCAGAACCACAATCAGCCTATAGTGCCGACATATTCTGTTCCAACCGATACTAGTCCACCAGCACCTCCGGCTCCTAACATGGCAAGGGTACCGCTCCTTACGCACAACTGCATCGACCCTCGTTTGCTCTACGCGTATCCCGGCCAGTTTACTTCTCCTGAGCTTTCCGGAACTCTAACCCTTACCGACCTGCAGTACTACCATCGTCGGAACCAAGAAATCGAGGCATCTGTTGCTATGGAACTGGCCCAGTTACTCAATCTCCAGCAGAGGCATGGAATGCAACGTTCATTTCCTGACTCTCAAACCATCCCACAAGTGTACCAGCAAAATAGGATATCATCATTACGACAAGGACATCGAAATGGTGCTTCGGATCAACCAAGGTCGTTTCACGTACCGAATCCGGTTTCCCAACAGCCGCATACGCCCAGTTACGTACGGCATTTAGGGAAACAGCAAATCGATCACGAAGGCGCCCACATTTCCAGGCCTACCGGACTTTTCCGACCCATCCTGTCGCGCAATAAGCATCGCAGCTTTCAAAAAACTCTCGCGAGAACAAAAAGTAGCAAAGTTTTTGGAGATAGATAGAGCTGAAAAGGCCCTAAATCCCAAAGCAATCACACAAGTGCAGAAAGTGTTCATGAAGGCTGCTGCAGAACGGGTGGCCGCAACGAAGATAAATGCTGTAGGTGAAGATAAAATGAAGCAGAACAAGGAGAATGCGGAGAGAATAGTCAAGCTTCCGGATCAACAGACGATAATGATCCCGGCCCCCAGCCATCAGACCAACTGGAACACTTACATGACTACACCAGGAGTTGGAAGCTTCGGATCTCACCCAGCTTACTCGAACATCACGAGTTCATCTCCTTCGCCGCAGCTCTGTGGGCCTTTGCTAGCTCCCACACCGACTTCCAAGAGGGAAGAATGATAGGCGAGGCTACAACAGGCACATGACTTAGACTAATTGACCTCTACTCACTTCACTAGTTGATAGCTTGGTTCGATACATCTTGCGATGTCTATTGCACGATCGTCGTAGTCAGAAGGTGTTTTGGAAGGTTTTGCTGTGGTTAGCAGTTGTGACATCAACAAGGTTGGCTATGGTATTAATGCACGGTAGAAGAAACAACGTGTTGAGGGACTTTCGTGATACGAGCAACTGGAAGGATTGATGTATCAAATCATAAAACACATTACTGATTACGATATTGTCATGACTGTCTATACATGCAGATTACGTGGCGTAGGCCCTCAACTCAGGCTCCGTCAACGACTTCTGTGGGTATGCCAAAAGCAATGCGCCAGCCACCGGAATCAGCCCGCTGGTGGCCAAGACATCATCAAGATCGAGTCCAGGGGCGGCGTAGCTGCTGCAAACACTCTTCACGTCGATGCGCCCCAAGTTACCCGGTCCGTCGTTCTGAAGCGCATCAACAATTAATGCGTAAGTCAGTGGGTTGAACAAAACGCCAGCATGACCGTAGACTGAGCCTCCTAGCTGCCCAGCACAAACGCGTTGTACTTCGTTGTTGGAGACACCAACGTTGCGCGCATCGTTGATGAAGGCGGAGGCGCCAGTACCTTGCTGAGGCTCGACAATCTCATCGAAGAAACCCGAGTAGAAGGTTGTAGTGGGAACGTATGCGCTGTCCCCACCACCACTCCTGAGAGCCCTAACGAAATCCGAAGTAGCTTCTTGCTGGATAACGGAAGGATCACAGGGACCAAGGGCTTGGTTGCTGTTTGCCGTCAAGCATATGACGTTGGCCAAAACGGTGCCCTTGAAATCCGGAGATACAGGAAGGAAATCCGTGACAACTCTGCGGGTTGAAGGCCAGTATTTCAACACCCATTGTGTGTCTAGACCACCTTGGGACCAAGAAATAACGGCGATATTCTGCTTGTTGGTACGCGAAACGGCGCTGATGTAGTTTATAGCGTAGGCAATGTATTCGGCATTCGTTTGCGCGTCGCCGAGCATGGCACCGGGAATATTGAGCCATACTGGATCGGCATAACTCTCGCCTGCCAGCAGCTTCCTAAGGTTGTTGGCGAAGTTGAAACCTCCATAAGCACCAGTACCTGGCACAAAGATCACAGGACGTTTCTCGCCATATGTGAAGCTGGGTGGGATGAAAATCGCTTTGCGAAGTGCAGATTCTGAGAGCGTGTACGGAGCATCTGCGCTATCCTTCTTAGGATAGATACCAGAAGTAGGTGGGTTGTTGTTGTTGACGCTGTTTTCACCAACTGGTAGACCACCAGTCAGGGCGGCATTTAGGGTTCCATCGAGCACCAGGCCATCAGCTATTTGAGTTGCAACGGCAGCAAAAAAGTCTGTTCGTGTGGTTGGACTCGCCCAGATTTTGGAGTGTCTTGCTACCGCGGCTTCGATATTCGTCGGTCGCGTGGTAGGTTGAAGTTGCGAGAGGATGCTGAGCACCTTTGTGGGATTGCCCTGTGCAACAGCTTCGTTCACATCGCCGAGAAGGTTATCGACGAGAGAGATTACGCCAGGAAGTAGGCCAGGAATAACGTTGTTCAGCAGTTGTCTTTCATCCAGACTTTGGACCTGTTCAGTAGAGGATCCTGGCGTTGGGATTGGCGCGATTTCTGCTACCACCGGGGCTGGTGCAGGTGCGGGTGCAGCAAGCGACGTCGGGAGAATGCTCAGAAGAGCTAGAGATGGGACTGGGAGACGCATATTGACTCTTTTCTCAACCTTGGTACCAGCAGAAAGTACGACCTAGAAGACGAAGAGATGCAGAGCCCCTGTCAACCGCAACGAGCAATCATGCCTCGCGTCTTTAACCACTCTCACAACATGAGTCGTGCGGACTCCAATCGTCATCCTGCCCTCACTTTGCGTTGCAGTCTGTCACGAACTATTGTCCTTGTCACCTCTTTAGCGTCGCCGAACACATGGGACAGTCGCGGAAGCGCATATTGGTAGATGTCGATCTGCATGGTCCTGTAGATCTTGCGCTGTGTACAGTGTTAGCGTGTCGGATCGCCCCTGATCATGATCTCCTCCCTGGGCAGATCCGACCCTGCTTTACTAAATTGGGACCTGGAGACTATCGAATGCGGCAGTCGTGCGCCATTGACATCGCTAATTCGTTGGGCTTGTATTAACCGATGAAAAGTAGGCTTTCCGGCGCTCTCTCGTCGCGATGGGTCTTTTTACATGCTGTTATCCATCAGTCATACAGTCGCTACTGTGAGCAAGAGGGACTGCAGGAACAAGAAAAGCGTGAAGAAACTCTTTGGCGGAGAATCTACAGGAAGAAAAGAGCCTACCGCCCTGAACCGGATTAAATTGTGGAGACGCGATTACGCCGAGATTTGCCAAAATGACAGGACTGTCGGCCTCACCACTCTTGACTTCGGATCAGCTATGTCATGTCAGAGATGTGTTCTGCAAGCCATGAAAACCTTATCGTACGTTCGAAGACGAGGGTTCTGGCGTTGAGATCATCACAGGAGGTTCTCGGAGCATATATCGATGCACGATCCAACACGCGGATTTCTGGACACTGTATGTGCTTTTCTAGCCCGCAGAATACCCCGATCTTACCCACCGGAGATATGTAGCGGGTACATGCTAGCGTTCCAGGAATCAACATACGCTACAATGAGATCTAGATATAGTCCCAAATATCAGTGTCCTTAACTTTTCACCAGCAAGGGGTGTGCCGACATCTATAAGTTCTTTACGCCGGGATGCGTCATCGATCCGTAGCTAAACAACAAGCACATCCGCTGTCTGGTTCTCATCTACCCAACCTTCCCAGTCTTTAATGTCTACTCCTGTGCGTTGTGTTAGACTCCATGCGGTGCTGCGAACGCGTGACGTCATCTTCAACTAGCGTGTTTGCTATACAACGCACGACACCCATTCTACCTAATCGACTCTGAGCAAGATTATCCTCGCCTTGTATCCTTCCGTTGCACACGCGCTATCAACATGTCAATTGAGTTGGTCTGAATTGATAGGACGACACTTCATCGAAGCTTCATGGATAGAGAGGTCGCGAAGCGCTACGCGAAAGAACCCATGAATGTAACTAACGGTCCCAGAGAGGCTGTCAGGACAGTATATAAAAAGCTAGACAACCTACCCTCCGAGACCAGCTTATCTATGATGTGCCTTCCAATCTTGATCTAATCGCTACGGTCCGGGTAGCTGCGTTCGCACGATGCATCGCTATCGGCATGTGCTGGAAGCGTCTTGCAAGCAGCTTAGGCACATTTCGTCACGCTCCTTCACATCACACACTATATCCTGATATCGCACAAACACCCCTAACCTATCTCTAATGTACCTCATCTTACCTACGCGCAGGGCTCAGACATCCTACAAACCGAGAATCAATGGGCAGCTCGTTCCTCCAGCTACCGCTGCCTACAGCACCTTCCACTTTACGCCAGGACCAACGACGAGATGCCGCTCTTGATTTACTCAACACATGTACTCTTCCGCGACTATTGGATCTCGACAATCGACCTATTTTCATGCTCAACACAGACGATTATGCCAAGGAAAGCCAAATTCCAATCCAACCCGTCTTCTGCAATGCAGCACTGAGAGAGCGGGAGCAGCTGCTAGAACAAATAATCGGTACCTCGTCAAGGTTTCATGATTCTACCGGTACTGGAGCATCACATGACGAATTTCGGATATGGGCGACGAATCTTAGCAGATTCAACGATTCTCGAGATCTCTTTCCGATCACCATAGAATTCGAGAACTGGTTATGGTTGGGCATCTCGATCTATCCCAACTGGCGGCTGATCAGCGGGCACACGCTTTTCAAAGATGAGGATATTTCTGAAGGGGACCAGTTGTGTGCATCAGTACCACGCCTCAAGAAAGAGAGATATACTGGCGATCTGCCTGGCGATGTAGCTAAAGCTTTAGCTTCTGCCGAGGCTATACCAACCCGGGAGATTATTGAGGACGTGCAGGAACCTGAATTCCCATTTGTAGTCCTCGGAAACGATCGTGACAGAAACAGCTCCTCGAGTATCTCATCGATAACCTTGTCTACACCCGACTCTTCTGTGCCAGACTGGACAGTACCGCACCCAAGAGGTGTTCTCTCGGATCATCTCCAATTCGTAAGGAACATTGACTGGGCAAAAACACCGTTAGGGGCTATGAATAGATGGTCTATTCAATTTCGGGAGATCATCTGTTTGGTCATGCGCAATCCTCACCCATCTTCCGTGTTCTGGGGCGAAGACTTAACCATGCTTTACAATGAGGCTTACAGAGACGATGTGACAGGCGACAAACATCCGGCTTTAATGGGAACTGGCTTCTCAGGCCCTTTTGGCGAGATGTGGCATGCAGTTGGACCTGTAATTCGCGAATGTGCGCGGACAGGTCATGCACAGCTTAATCACAACCAGCCATTGCCCATCATGCGGTACGGTTATATGGAAGAGGCTTTCTTTACCTGGTCTTTCGTGAGTGTTGATGCTATGGGTTCTGTTCTTTGGATACGTATCACTCACATAATGATAGGTACCAGTCTTTGGTGGTACTGAGCGCGTCTTAGGGTGTAGGTAATATTGCATCTTATTGTGATAGCTCCATGGTGAAGCTGGGCTGGGCTGGACGGGAGTAATAGGCACGCTGACTCAAACATGAATTACAGTCTACCTCAACGCATTCGACACCACGGTTGAGTCCATTAGCGCAAGAAGGATGTGGCTGTTGCGCTATCTCGGGGAGTGCATGAATGCCACACGTACCGTCAGTAAGTGTACACTTATGAGTGTTCTACCAGACGAAAACTAACATCGTGTTTGCCTTTGAGAGGAATTCTGGATGAGAGTTCTGGACGGCCTGAATCACAATGATTACGACGTACCTTTTGCCCTCTTGTACACTGTTACAGAATCGGAGGGCGCCGAGAATGCTTCTTCGCACTCGAATGCCGCCCCAACAGCTACAAAGTGTTGCGTTTTTGAAGGATCAATCGGAGTGCCGAGAGGGCATGCAGTCTCCCCCGACAGGTTAGATCTCGGAGATAGTGATGGTTTCCTGACACCGGCTTTTCGAAACGCTACACAAACCCTAGAGCCCATGATGTTAAGCATCAAGGACAATACACTTCCACAACCGCTTCTAGACGTTATCGAGTGGCGAGGCTACAAGGATCCATGTAGAGAAGCTATGGTTTTACCCTTACGACCAACCAACGCAGACAACGTGTGCGCTTTATTGGTGCTAGGCATCAATCCCCGGAGAGCATATGACCAGGAGTACAGGTCTTTTATGGCCATGCTCAACAGACAGATCGCTACGTCGCTAGCTTCGGTGCTTCTTTTCGAAGACGAGGTGTGCCGGAGCAAACAAGCCGCGGAGATAGCCACCCTACAAAGAGAGCAGATGTCTCGACAGCTTCAGCTTCAGACTGGACGCATGCGGCGAATGACTGAACTATCGCCCATGGGCATGTACTTATTCGACCCAGATGGTCTTCTGGTAGAGGCGAACGACCGATACTACGAAATGACTGGTGTCTCGTCTACAGGAGATAAACTGCCATGGTCTATCGACATGATGGTGGGGGAAAGTAAAAGGGCTGCACGGGAAATGTGGGACTGTACGCGACGTTCTATGGCATTCATTTGTTACATATACTAACACTGATTGTCAATACTAAGACATGATCACTCACCACAAGCCAGTAAGCCGTGAGCTGCAGTTCGCGAACTCTGCATGTCAACCCCGAGACATCGATGGCGCACGAATCGAGTATTGGGTCCTGGCAGCTAGTCAGCCAGAGCTAAGTGCCGACGGTGAACTCGTCAGCGTCATGGGATCACTTACAGATATCTCGCATCTGAAGTGGGTGCAAGGCCTGCAAGAACGGCGAATACAGGAAGCAGAAGAGGCAAAGCGCCAGCAGAACGAGTTCATCGATATCACGTCACATGAGATGAGAAGTAGCGATCCCTCCGTATGAAACTCATGTGGGATATATACTGATCAGCTCACCAATACTCAGATCCACTTTCCGCGATCCTCATCTGCGCCGATGACATCCGAGATACCCTGACACAGTACAAGTTCTCTCGCAGTAGCGATCAGAAAATGGCAAAAGAATGCGTCGAAGCAGCGGAAAACATTGCACTTTGTGTTCAGCATCAAAAGTCAATCGTCGACGACGTTCTCACCGTCTCAAAACTGGACTCAAATCTTCTCCGCATCACGCCAATACCCGCACAGCCAATTATAGTCGTCCAGAGATCTATGGCAATGTTGGTCGCCTTGAGCCTGGGTTCACGAGATGAGCACTAACATCCTACTTTTAGGTTCCGTCCTGAAATCCAGGCCAAGAATATCGACTTCAAATTTGTTCCACATCCCAGTGTTCGAGATCTCGACATTGACTGGGTGATTCTTGACCCTGGTCGACTTCTTCAAATCATCGTCAATCTCATCACCAATGCCATCAAGTTCACCATGGAGTCCCAAATCCGCTCAATCACGGTCCACATTTCTGCTCATGCGGAATGGCCAGACTTTGATATCCCAGAAGGATTCACATGTACGCAGTATATACAGTATTCTCGCATATGAGGCTACCACTAACTCCGCAATCTTATCTTTAGTTGTTCCACCACGAGATATCGTAACTGAGTTCGGGAGTGGTGAGGGCTGGGGCTCAGGCTCGTTCGTCTATCTCCAGTTCCAGGTTCAGGACACAGGTTGCGGACTTTCGCCTCAGCAGATGTCCCTCTTGTTCGAGAAATTTGCCCAAGCTGTGGGTCAATCCAATGAACAAGCTACAAATGAATTACGCACTAATGCTAAATCTAACACTTAGTCTCCTCGAACACACATGCGATACGGCGGTAGTGGCCTCGGACTCTTTATCTCGCGCCAACTTGCTGAACTTCACGGAGGTCAGATCGGTGTTTCTTCTAAAGCTGGTGTCGGCAGTACCTTTGGATTCTATTTGAAGTGCAAGCGCATGATTGCTCAGAAACCTACTCTATCGCGTGACACATTCAAACACGCCCTCGAAATCGACCACGCGGTGAAGGCACGGGAAATAAAAAAAGCAACTATATCCCTGATCTCCGCCGCGACTGCAGCAGGAAAAGATGAATATTCTGTCGACATGGATATACCACAGTTCATCAATGAAAAAATGGACGAAGCCAAAGATGACCAGCTTCATGTTCTTGTCGTTGAAGATAATCTAGTGAACCAAAAGGTGCTAGTCAAACAACTCATGAAAGCAGGCTGCGTTACCAGCACTGCCGACAACGGCGTCTGGGCGTTGAAGCATCTTGTCAAAACAAAATTCTGCGTTACCGATGGGATACCACTTGACATCATTCTCATAGATTGCGAGATGCCAGAGATGGATGGCCTGACATGTTGCAGAAAGATACGACAGATGGAGCAACGGAAAGAGGTGTCGAAGCATATTCCGATTATAGCGGTTACTGCGAATATAAGAGGCGGGCAGATAGACAATGCAAGAGATGCAGGTATGGATGATGTTGTTGGGAAGCCATTCAGAATCCCGGACTTGTTGGCGAAGATGCGGGAGCTATTGAAGAAGATTGAGAAGTGAACGAATATTAAGATTGTCCTAATGCAGGGCCGTGAAGCCTACGTGGTATCGTAAAGCCCCTGTGACCATTGCGATTTGGACCTCAAGGTTTGTAAAAGGGTTTCGACGAAGGATTTATGCAATTACCGGACTACCACCATTGTCGCCAAGTTCACCATCATAGGTAGTGGTGGCGAGAACCAACAAGCCGAGACATGTTCAAAGCCTTGATAGATTTCGTTAAGAATCTACTAGCAGCCCGTGCCTATGTATGCTTCCACGTCATTCATGGCATTGTCGGTGCACGAATTTCATCGAAGCCATTCAAATGTCTTCTTCATGGTCATCACCCTCGAAAGACTCGACCTGCACGCTATCATGACCTCGAAAAGCCCTGCTTTCGGGTCATGTTACTACATACTCCAGAACGCATACCTCCAGAAACCTCGCCTACACATATCTAAAACATGCCTTGCTATTCTTCATGTATGTCAAGTCTCCTCTCAAACACCGCCAACATGATGTGAACAATCGGCAATTTTGGACAGGTGGGCATCAAACAACTTGATCTCGTTTTTTGGTAGGGAAATTTTAGGTTCACCACCGCGTTTGGGGAGAAGAACAGGAAGTTTGGCGACAACAGAGGGAGTTTATATGCCCAAGGGCGCCGCTAAGGTGGTGCTTACCAAACACGCTGGCACTAGCAGGATGATAATGAAGAGATGGCTAGGTAATGTAGTATCCTGACGTTGCATATTTGAGTATATATAGCGTTTGCCCACTGGGAGGTTCAAACTTGCATGGCTTGTCTCAACTATCAGCCAACAAAGTAGCGAGTTAAGCACAGTCACGTGTTAGCGCACCACGCTAACGCCACGCGACGCGTCAAACCTTCCTCCATCTCCACTTCCCCAATCCAACCACCCAACTGCTACACAAAGCACTATATTCAAGTCGTCAACAAGCAAACACTCAGCAAATCTACAACACATCACCTCATACCCAAACGCGCCGAGTCTTGCCGCGAAAGATCTTCACACGAAGCTCACTCACAATGGACCACCCACAAACACCCCGCATCCTCGCCCCGCACCTTGCAAACTTCCAACACCGCATCGTGCGCATATTGGGAAAGGTCACGCAGCTGCGTGGTGAGACAGCAGTTATTGATGCAGGAGGTAATGTTGACGTTGTTCTGAACAGGGTAAGCATTTTCGTCTGCGTTTACATGTCGTTCAAGCACTTGAGGAAAAGAGTATAGGAACTCGATCAGGAGTATGAGCTGACTAAGATGAACCAGGACTCACATCTCGCCGTCGGTCATGCAGTAGAGATTATCGGCAAGGTAGATCAGAACCTGCAAGTCAAGGTACAAGCTGTGACCGATTTTGGCACAAATATCGGTACGTGCTCTTCACCAACCTCCCTCTTATACCCGTGCCGTGCCTTGCGCACAAAATCGGTAACTGACACATACCAGCCTCAGACCCTGTCAGGTTCTGAAGGCGACATGTGTGTTTTCGTCTCCTTCTCTACTTAGTGGAGGAAATACTCCTTTGAGAGGAAGAGCGAGCATCACGCTAATGCAACGTAGACTTCAACGCAGCAAATGCCGTAGTAGATGCTACGCATCGGTACAAGGAGATTTTCTACGACGACAACTAAACACTAAGCATTAAAAGCGTCTAAGCGATACGAGATGAACACCTTCATGTACAAATATGTGCATTTTACGGGCGGATTGTATTAATGTACTAGTTGCCGAGCACTACTATAAGGATCACTATGCATCTACGAGCAGAGAGTGGAGGCCTCGGTCACATGATATGTACATTTACAAATCGATCCAATCAAGACAATGCGCTATGTGTTCTACTCTCGATGCATGGTATCTTCCGGCTAGAAATACAGCGCCTCCCAAACGCCTAACCATGCCAAAAAGAAGAACGCCCCTATAATCATACAATTACACGATGTGCTGATACATCCAGTTATCATAGCTTACTCCTTACACCCTCGAGTCTGAACTTGACGTCTTTGAGCTGTTTTCCGGTCGGCTTCCATGCCTCGAACATACCGAGTAATTTCTCGACCTCGTCTCCAAGTTCCTTCTTGACAAAATCCTCTTCTAGTAAACCTCTCATTGCCCATGGCAGGAAGAAAGGATTCGGGTTTGTCGTGGTAGCAGAGGGCTCATAGTCCTTCACACGAAGCTTGTACAAGTCTTCTTTTTTATTGTTATTCGCGAGCTTCTCACCAACGACGGGGATGTTGATGCCCTGGAAACTGCCGGCCGTGCTTGGTCGCTCTTTAGTCGTTGGTATAGGGAGAGACGTTGTTTCGAGAGCATGCTGTACAGCAAGGGAGTAGATGGCAGGGTCTTCGTAGACACGAGAGTGACCTTCACCGCCATATAAGGAGCCTGCTAAGGCGGGCGACAGTTCGCGGATCAGACCGTGATCAGGAAGGCCTAGGTTGCGCAGTTTCAACGCGAAGCCAACGAGATGGGTGAGAAAGTCTGGTGCATGAATGCGACCATCAACGAAGACGGCTCGGTAGATGTAAGGGTGCGAAAGCGTTGAGAAGGTTGACGACTGGCGTAAGTTAGCAAACCGCAGAGCTAGAATAGAAAAGAAATAAGCTCACCTCAAGAGAGACAAGCTGGTCGTCGATGCTACCGACGTACAATATCCGTACACCGAACCGGAGGACTTCGTCTAGAGCGGCAAGATACATCTGGCTGACCAGACTTTTGGGATTCGAGAACTCGAACAATTCAGCAGCTGTAGGACCGAAGTACTTTGTCTTGTACTCAATGAACGGACCCATGTTTACGCCAGCCATAGCGCATACTCCGATCCTCGTCGCGTTGACACAGCCAAACTGTATGAGCTTCGCAACCAACATCATAGCTACTGGTACACCCTGCGAGTGGCAAGCGACCAAGATGAAGTCAGCTTGCTTGAGATGGTCGATCCAGTTGAGCAAGAGCTTCCATAGGGAGTTGACCCGCTCAGCAATGAATCCCTCGCCTTCTAACGCTATCTGCTCGATCTCTGGACTGTACCCTCGCGCTTCAGACCAGTCCTTGATTGCTGCGGCTGCGGCATTTGCAAAGCGTATTGATGTGCCTGTTGGCTGCCCTAGCACCTTTTGTATAATGGGCGCAGGAAAGAAACCATGTACACCAATCGCTACGGCCTTTTTGATCCTCGGTGGTGCTGGGTTGATGTGCAGGTGAGGAGCCGCAGGTTCGCCTCCAAGAAAGTATTGACGGATTTGCTTCCAGAAGTTCGGTTGCTGGACCATTTGGTAGGTAGTTCTAAACTCCGGTAGCAAGAGGTTTGGCGGACCTTGCTTGGCCTTGGCCAACTGCTTCGATGCTTGTTTAGCAGTAGATGCTGTTTCAGGCTTCGTCGGCTCGAGCACTGGTGAGGCTCTCGTCGGTGTGGCAGTCTTACTCGACGTAGGGGTGTCGGCTGGCGTGTCTTTGGCAGGAGTCATGGGCTTTGGTCGTCCCCGTAACGAGGCAAAGGATTTCTTCGGAACTGGTTCGTCCTTCGGTGGCTGTTGTGGTTCCTTGGGTGTCTCCGCATCTGACTTGGGCTGTTCCTGCTCGTTGAATTGCGCCGCTTCAGGGTTCGATTGTGAAGGAGTATCGAACACTGCCACCTCGCCCACATGCTTCTGTGGCCCAGCCTCGCCCGGCTTCTTTTCTTCTCCCGGTTTTCCCCTATACCAGAACGCCCATGCAGAAGTTTTTGACGACCCTGTAGTATTCTTCTGAGCAGTCTCGGGAGGTGTAGCTGGGGCTGCGGTTGCGGGGCGCTCTTGCGGGGCTGGGGTCTCGATCTCAGCAGGTGCTTCTGGCAGAGATTCAGGCGCAGCATCCACTTTGGGCGTAATACTATCATCAGTCGGAGGATCGACGGGAGGAGGGTTCGCTTGCGCGTTCTGCGCGCTACTCCATGTCCAGAACCAAGAACCAGATGCTCTTGCCAGAACTTTAGCAGCTGCGGATGGCGCAGCCTTTGTCTCAGTGTCTGGAAGCGGAACTGCTTCTGTTGACACATCCTTATTCTCTGTCTCTACCACTTGGTCGGGCTTAGACGGGATGGCACCCGCGTCTAGACCCTTCGTTTGCGCATCTGGCTCTTCTGAGGGGGTCGGTCCAGGTAGCGGCGTAGTGGAGGCTTCTTCAACACTTGAGTGTGCCTCACTTGTAGCCTTGCCCGGGTCATAGCCGTCCGGCCGCGACCACCAGCTTCTCCAACCCCATGTGCTAGCAGTCGCGTCCACTTGTGACTTGGGCGGTTCGGGGGGTAACGGCGGTTCGTTGACTTGGGGCGCTGGCGTCTCTTCGACGTCGTTTGGCTTCGGCTTGGGCGGCTCGTCTAGGGGGCCGTCTGAGGATACGTTGACCTCGGTGATTGAGGCGGGTATGGCGTCGCCCTTGCTCGACTTCCGCTTGGTGAGGAACTTCTTGGGAGACTCGTCTCTTGGCTTCTTCGCTTCCTCGTCGGGCAGTTCGCCTGTCGCACCCCCGCTAACGCCGATGCTCTCCTTTGCGGTTTTGACTATGGCGGGCGCCTTGGATCGCCCGCTACCTGAGCCTGAAAACCACCTCTTGGCTCGAGGTGTTTGTGTCCCAGAGGCTGTCGGCGTTGTGGTGCCAACCGAAGGCGTCGATTCCGCTACAGACTTGTCTAAGGAGGCATCTGGCAAGACTCGACTACCGCTGGGAGTGTTGTTGGTGGTGGTAGTGCTGGCGTCAAGTGGGACTTCTGGGCCCTGGGTGGGTGCGGCGGCGGGAGCCTCGGTGTCTGGCTTGGGCTTCTTACTTGGCTTCATTCCTGCAGGGACAGTCAAGGAAGTGAGCAGGCGGTAGGGCCTCTGGAGAGGGAGTTAGCATGGAAAAGACATGCGAGGTTGGCAGCACACCTTCATCCCGACGTGGACCAGGTGCGCGTCGGGGCTGGCTGGCTGCGTCATGGGCCATGCCGTGGAGACTAGTCCTGGCTTAGCGCAGCCCCGTAGCGCGTCCACTAGCGTCCATTCTGCCACCGCCTAGCGATATTGTCGGCCTTCCTGAAATTTGTAGCGCGAACTTTTGCCCGCAGGACCACGACGCCGAACCGCAACAATGGCGATCCAAAAGAAGGTGCGCAAACATGGGAATAACACGTGCGACAGCAGCTAATCCCGCAACAGCACGGAAAAGGTCGTCTCGACAAATGGTACAAGCTCGCCAAGGAGAAGGGCTACCGTGCCCGTGCCGCCTTCAAGTTGATCCAACTGAACAAAAAGTACAACTTCCTCGAGAAGAGCAAGGTCTTGATTGATCTTTGCGCTGCGCCCGGGTCATGGTGTCAGGTCGCTTCAGAGGTATTTCGCTGTGCTCAACACCATGCGCCTACGTACTAAAGACCCCAGGTTATGCCCGCGAACTCCCTCATTGTCGGTGTCGATCTCGCCCCAATCAAGCCTATCCCACGATGCATCACCTTCCAGAGCGATATTACTACAGACAAATGCCGGGCGACGCTGCGCCAACATCTCAAGCATCTCAAGTGTGACACGGTACTCCACGATGGTGCGCCCAACGTCGGAACTGCGTGGGTGCAGGATGCCTTTACCCAGGCCGAGCTTGTCTTGCAATCCATGAAATTGGCTACAGAATTCTTGGTCGAAGGAGGAACTTTCGTAACCAAGATTTTCAGATCCAAGGACTACAACTCACTTCTCTGGGTCTTCAATCAGTTGTTCGCCAAGGTCGAAGCAACCAAGCCTCCCTCCTCCCGAAACGTCTCCGCCGAAATCTTCGTCGTCTGCCGCGGCTACAAAGCCCCCAAGCACCTCGACCCCAAGTTCCTTGACGCTCGCAGTGTCTTCGCCGAACTCTCGGACCCTACGCCTAACAACGAAGCCAAGGTCTTCAAGCCCGAAGTCAAGAAGAGGAAGCGTGAGGGTTACGAGGAGGGAGACTGGACCCAGTTCAAAGAGGTACCTGTATCCGACTTCATTCAGACAACCGACCCCATCGCCATGCTGGGTGGTCTGAACAAGCTCAGTTTTGAACAAAAGCCAAACGGCGACATCGCCGTCGCAACCATCGACAAGCTGCCGGAAACAACAAAGGAGATCAGGGATTGCTGTGCCGATCTCAAGGTACTAGGTCGGGCTGACTTCAAGCGCCTTCTTCGTTGGCGACTGAGGGTACGCGAGATCTTTGGTTTTGCCACTAAGAAGACAAAGGCTCAAGAAGAAGAAAAGGCCAAAGAAGCGCAAGAAGGCGACGAGGTCGCGGAGATTGAGTCAATGGACGAAGAGATGCAAATCCAGGAAGAGCTCGAGCGACTGAAGGAGAAGGACTCCAAGGCGAGGAAGAAGCAGCGCCGAGCTGAAAATGAGCGCAAGCAAAAAGAGATCACTCGTTTGCAGATGAACATGGCCACACCTTTCGAGATTGGTTTGGAACAGGCTGGACCAACAGGCGAGGATTCCATGTTCGCCCTGAAGGCTGTAGACAAAGCCGGCGCTCTCAACAAGATCGCCAAGGGCAAGATGGCTCAAGTCGTTGAACGCGAGCAGCCAGAAGAGATTGAAGAGGAGCCTGAGACTGACGACGAAGAGGATCGTCTGGAGCGAGAGCTCGACTCCATGTA